CGCAAAGGACGACTAAAAGCGCAACCACACCAGAAATCATTGAGAAAGTTCATAATATTATCAGTGAAGATATAAGTTTGACTAAGTGAAATCGCAATCATAGGCATCTCAGACGAACGAGTACTTCATATTTTACATGGAGAATTACATATGAAAAAGCTGTTTGAAAAGTTAGTGCCGCGCACGTTAGCAATTCAACAAAAACTGGATCGAAAACAAATTTCTCAGCATAATTCGCAGCGTCTTAAGCAGAATAAAACCAATTTTTTGCGTCGTTTTATAACTATGAGACCTGGAGCTACCACCATGATCCTAAATTGAAACAAGAACGTTTACAATGGACTGAAGCTGGTTGTTCAGCTCCAAAGCAGGTGAAGTCACAACGATCAGCAAAGAAGGTTATGGAATCCATTTTTTTTGGATGCATAAGGAATTTTGTTGATTGATTATCTGCAGAAAGGTAAAACAATAAACTCTGAATATTATTTCAGCCTTTTCGATCAGCTTCGTGTGAAAAGCCTTAATTTACAAAATAAAAAATAATTTTTTATCAAGACAATGCACCCATTCACAAAGGTGTATTAACAATGACAAAATTCAAGAAATTAAAGTACGAATTGCTTGAGTATCCACCGTATTCACCAGATTTGAGTCTCAGCGACTACTACCTGTTAAGAAACCTTAAACAATTCCTTCGTGGAAAGCGGTTTTCGTCGAATGAAAAAGCTATTAAGGAACGCCCAAGTTCGGGTCTAATCGAACATTTTATACTCTCGATCCAAAGCGGGGAGGTGTTGTAAAATCTTATATTAAACAAGTAAAGAAAGGTTGAGTCTAACCAGGTCTAACCGAAAATTTTATACTCTTGCTACTTGGAAGGATCAAAGCCAGCGAAATAATATCAGGTGTAGGTAAACATTTTTATTAAAAACTGTTACGAATGAATTCTATTGTTGATTCATTATTCCGCGAAATCGTGACTCATTTAGTTTCATTATTACATTTTGCATGTCCAAAATATAAATATTAAGATCAACCTAATTAACTCCAATAAGATATATGTGATATAAACTAAATCAAAGCTTAACTTAATATATGGGGTATAAGACGAAAACTTCAACCAAAAGATGGGGAATTTCATTCTGGACTAATGAAATCATTATATGTATGTACGTGTATCGATATTGCCCATTTCCAATATTATACCTTCACATAATTTTATTGTAATAAGATATCTTACAGATTGACCAATACATACGATATAAAGCCATCTGAATATTTGATACTCCTATATAAGGTATGACCTATATGGCTATGACATTTTTTTTACCCGCTTTTATCCAATTTTATATTACGACATTAAGGAACCTCACAGATTGACCAAAATTATGAGTAATCATGTCAAGCAGACCTGCGGTCCACTAATTGACTGTCTGGGTTCTTCAAAATTTTTAGTCCGGTTTCGACACTATTTGAGTGCACATTTGTGACAAGTTTTATTCTGATAACTTTATTGATGCTTGATTTATGTACAGTAAAGTGAAAGAGTCAGATGGAATTTAAAATTTTGTTATATTGGAAGTAGCGGCGGTTATTTTCGCCCCTTTTCACATGATGGTTATGTTTGGGTAACCTCACATACTAAATTTGGAAAAGTGGGTCCTGAGATATAATACTTTATCTATAGGTGGGCGGTGCCATGCCCATTGCCCAGTTTTTACACCTGCTCCTACAAAGTTCTTCCTAACCATTCTGGTTGTGAAATTTAATGGTTGTAACAAATTTATGCAGTGAGTTATCGCACTTTTAATAGTTTTCAGGATAACCGTTATATGAGGAGCGGGCGTGGTTATTATCCGATTCCAATTTTTTTTAAGTGTATAAAATGCGAGAGTATAAAAACGCTTTAAATATAAATATAAAACAACTTCCGAGCTAAATTGGAGTTTTTTATGAAAAAGAAGAGACAAAAAGGACAACATAATTTAGTGGAACTCTTTCTTCTTTATTCTATTCCACAAAAAAGGTCCCCAAAACAAAAAAAAAAAGATAAAACCGGCATAGTTAAGTGCACTTTATCAATTATCTTATAGCAGCGCAGCAAAACCAAGTGCAACACAAGAAGAACTTGTGTCTCTTTAAACACTTACGAGCCCCAAATGCATGCGGGCTCTGTTATTTCGTGTTCAGCATGCGTGTGAAGGTAACGCATTTTATGTCCTTCAAATCCTATGTGGCACATCATGGAATATCTGAGAATTCAACATTTTGCTGCATCTCATTAAGGCACTCTCGTGTATGGCGATTTTGCTGGTTGCCCACTGCCGATGTTGTAGCAAAAATACGAAAAAAGTAGAATTATCAATTTACATGCGCCCACGCTATAATTGAAAATTTCGTTATAATCACGAAATGCATACAGGGTGCGACTTGTTCCATTACAAATTGGTAAAACTAACTTTTTTGCTGTTTTCTGTTTTGGGTGGCTACATAAAGTCATCGACTTTTATTATAAAGGGGACGGAGACGGAGTTTGACCGAATTCCAAACTACATGGTTTCCCAGTCAGCAATATACTTCGTGCTAATTGGACTATATGTGGGAACAAATTTGAGCCCTCTGGCTTTAAATGCAAATCCTAGCTTCGATCGTCTACGACCGAAAGCGAATAGCAACTAAATGTTATTATGCTTTAAGGAGGTGAATTATGGATCCGATATTTTCGACTATGTATGTGTTGAATAAATTCATCGGAGGAAATAATTTCGGTGTAAAAGAACCCTATTTCGGTGGGATATTTTGGTATTCGTAATTACAATCAATCGATAAGTAAATTCCAAATTTATTCTATGTTTAGACACAGACATCCTCTATCCTGCATATGTGCGCACTTAAATACGTTTGCTAGAAATGGCGGCAATACATGAATATCTGGCGTTAATAAAAATATGTGGATGATGAAACGCGACAGCGATAATTGGCTGTATCCGCAGCGTTACTTGATGAATTTCATTCTCAAAATAAATAAAATTAAAAACTGCATAATTCACTTGTTGCGGTTTCATTTATTTACCGTTATAGTAATTGTGTTGCGGTTGACGATGTGTAAGCCGTTACATTTTTAAATTTCAACAACTGGGCATTTGCATTTGGAACTCAATATTTTTAAATTGACCAGTCATAAATAATTCGATCGCCAGACACTTAGGAATTTTGAGATTGTTCGCTCTATAAACAACTCTAAGAATAATACTGAGTCATAATTTCTGTTCATAACAATAAATTAGGAAAGTTGATAGTGCTATGCCATTGATGCCATAGAAAAATCTTCGATACGATTTCGTTAGGCAAAAGAAAAGACAATATTCTTTATTTTGATAAGCTTTAAGCTTCGGGGAAAGTTGTCTTTTGAGATTTTGAAGTGTACGGAAAACAGAACTATGATGCGTTTTGGAGATCTTCGCAATCTGTAGAAACACTATAGCCCAATGTAGATGGGAAGACAGCTTTAACGTAACAAATATAGTCTTTTGGTTTCACATAAAAATTCGTTCAAGTTCCAATTTACTTTAATTTAACTTAAGTAATTTTCCTTTTGGAACTCTTAGCTGATAAAATGTCAGCATTTCTTTTGATTTAATTTGAATTTATATTTAGTAACTATAAATTTGTAAATCTTTAATAAATAATAGTTAATCTATTATATAATTTTGAGAGTCACCTGAAGCTTCGTATATGTTAGTCCCTATGTTAGATGAAGCAAACGAGAAGCCCCAATCCGCTTCTGCTTCCGCGCAGTCGGGTCTACGTAACCGGAACGCACCCGGATTTTTATCCAGCCAAGGACTGTCAATCGGCTTGATAAACGCATATTCCACCGAGTTTAAGTTAAGATTGCCACGAAATTTGTAACACATGAAAGTTAACGTCGGAGACTCTACAAAGTACATCTATAAATTTAGAAATGATCACCGACAACTGAGTCGATCTATGGTAGCTATGACCGTCTACTGTAGTAAACATTTTTTTATTTTTTTATAGCCATTTATATTTCAGTGCAGCCAAAGCCAGCGAAAAAAACTTTTTGAAATTAGATAACATCACAAAGAGTTGTGAATTGTCCTAGTAAACTATGTAACTGATTGAGTGACATAAATATATAGAAATTGGGCGTGAAGACAAAGTTAAGCTCAGTAAAAGTGCAACTTGTTATTGGAGAGTAAATCAATTTTTTCTTACGAATATAAACCACAACCGATGACAAGTTTAAATCTATAATAACATAGTTTAGGAGCTCTTCCTTTATAAGCACTGCTGATATGTGAAATACTCTTCTAAACTTCATCAAAGAGGCCAATATGAAGAAAGCTCAAAGACATAGTGAACCTAAATTTATCGGATAAAAGCAAACCGGACATGCAACAGTTGAAGAAAATATAATGGGGTGTGTTAGATGTATGTGTATGGTATAACTGAAAGTAATGATAAAAAGAAATTTATTTTCTTAATTTAATTTATTTTAATTGTGAATTTTTAATTTCCCTCCCAATTCAATTTCGCTAACCATCATTATTTAGTCCTTCAGAAACAGCAGCAAAACAACATAACACATCAACTTTGATTTCTATTGAATAAGCCGATGAAGTCGATAATTTAAAAATGTTGTCGCACTGATTGAGTGCCGGAATGAAAGTAAGAGGTGTATTAAAAATGCCATATAAAGCAATCAAGAAAATATGAATGAATTTTTACATTTCCACACACACTTAGAGGAATGTACTCGCCACTACACTCTACGCAATGACGCCGGTACTTATGTAAACGTATCACAACGAATGTACTTGTGTGATTATATATAAATATATGCGTATATTTACTAGCGTTATTTATTTGAAGCTCTTCCTTCATTTTGATACTTTGCTTATTCATACATCAGTGGCTATATCCATTACTTAAAAATACAGATATTCATTTTTTTACTTTAAATTGTAAGTACATACCCGTGTTAACACTGCACTGCGAATTGTGGTAACGCTTTGTTAATCTATATTCACATAAATATGCTATTTAGCAGAAATATACAAACACGCGCCGCAAGAAAAAAAATCACAAATATTGCAAGATAAGAATTATGATATTTTAAGTTAACAAATGTATATTGAAATCCAACTTTTCGCTAAGAATATGGCAAACTAAGCAATAAAGCTATACTAGGCTTATGCGCAACATTTTTTACTTAAATTTTCGGTCGCTGCAAACAAACGTTCAAAGTAAACACTTCACTTTACCAATTTAACACTTCCGCCGTTTGTACGCGCGCACTCCGCGGCCACGAATAAATCTTGCAACCGCTGTACGACCGACACTCGATTTCTATACACGGTGCTACAGCATAACTTCCGTTTGCGCAAAGAAACACATCCGCTATAAGCGCACTAACGGTTGATAATAGTCGCGAGTATCCAAATTACCAAAATAGTTTAGGTAATGCCAGCCTATCAACACTTTAAAAACAACTGTGCACGCTCCCACATAATATTATTTTGCAATAAACATAAAAGATTTATTATTAGCTCAACGAATTTCTAGCCACGGCGCGTGCCACACGTATCACTCGTGAAACGTAAACACCAACTGATCTGCCACATTGTGTGGAAATTCACAGCAGGCAATGCCGTTAATCAGCAACCAAACGGTCGACAGTCATCGCTTGTATTCGTTCTAGCGCCACGGCTGCAGCGTGTGGTTGTTCTTTTTGTTGCCACACAACAGCAAAGGCTTCGTTCTACTTATTAACACCGTCGAGTTTTGGCAAATGCGTGGGACAGACAGTCCTAGTGTTGCCACAGAGAATACCCCACGTGTAGATAATTCATCATAGTTTTCGTTTAGACTAAAAGTCGTTTATATCTTATTTTTCATTTTAGGCGTTCCTATACATTCGCATGTTGCTGCAACATGTAGCTGGCGTTACTGCGCCGAATCATGATTTTGGCGCCATTTCAGCGTTGTCGGTAGAGAACATGTGGCACGTCTTCGTCGAGTGTTTTTGTTTACATCATTTTTAATTCACGGCCGGGAATACAGTGGTGTAGAAGGGTAAAATGAGCGAAATAATTTTTATATAACAAATTTAAATTCATTCAGTACTTTCCATTTCTTCCTGGAGAAACATTATCCGGACACAAAGAGCAAAAATCAGACCGATTTTACATCCCCTTACCGCGAAGGGAGAAATAATATAAAAATAAACTTGAAAATATTTAAACATTACAATATATTAGAATCATTATTATAATTGGTTTGGTTTTCCAGATTATTCCAGTGGAGAAAGAGATAGTAGTAAACCAGTTACCATGGTTAAGATGTTACTAAGATATCAGGAAAACTGTTTCCTCAGCAATATCAATGGCTAATGGCGTAACTGAAACGACAACAGCATACAAAACGTGAAGTGGGACCACGAGCGGATACTTTCAAAGTGTCGTTTCCGCCATTTTTAATATGTCATGATTTTTCTTTTTTCATTGTATTCAGTAATGTTTACAACGTTTACAAATTATTTAATTTTATCATCGAAATAATCTGGAGAACGATTTGAATTTTTCATGCGCTTTCGCCATTTTATGGTCGTAATAATCGCCCACCTGTGCTCGCTACTCGTCGCATTGTTGAAAAATATGGGACCAATAAAACCCTAAGGAACTGCGACTTTGGTAGCGAAGCCTTCACTGGCTATAATATTGCACCTTATTTAGAAAATGAAGAAGATCGCATGCGTCAGGGTGAGTTCATGTAGTGATTAAACAAACTACAAAACCATCCATACTACAACTGCTTACAAACGAGTCCACGTATATTCGGTCGACAGAGCCCTTCTTCGCAGTGGGTCCCATGCTATGGAGAAGGAGTTTAATATAAAATAAGTAAAGAAGGGCTAAGTTCGGGCGTAAACGAACATTTCATACTCGAGAACTTGCAAGGCTCAAAGCCGGGGAAATACCTTCAGGTGTTGGCAAAACTTTATTTTATTAAGAAATGTAGCGGAAAGGTGCAACTTCATTGTTCGACGAAATGGTGAATGGATTGCAATCAAATTTGGTATCATATTCACTTATTTTAAAGGTCATAGACTTACTTAGTTTTATTACTATATTTTACTTCCTGTCAGCGAAAATTATACAAAAATCATGGTGAGCAGAGAAATAGAAGGGCTGATTGCATAAATTTTTGACATTGCGCAAGTATACTTGAGAACTGATTTTTAAACCATTTTATAAATAAATAAATAAAGAGAAATCCATTTCGAGGTTCCCTACTTTTTTAAAGAAAAAAAGAAAGAAAATTCAGACTTAACTTAATTAACATTTATTTTTTTAAGATTATCTCTTTCAAACGGTCGCGATTACGTCTCAGATGGTTCGTTCGTTGAGTCCAATTTTCGATGACTCGTTCGACCATTTCGAATGGTAACTGGTGAATGACAAGCGTGATGTTTTGCTCCAAGGCGTGAATCGTAGCGAGATTGTCCGCATAGACTTACGAATTTACATATCCTCACAGGAAATAGTCTAACGGTGTGATATCACATGATCTTGGGGCCCAATCGACCGGCCCAAAACGTAAAATTTTTGCTCACCGAAGTGTTCTCTCAATAAATCCATTAATTCATGCGATGTGTGGGAGTGGCGCCGTTCTTGTTGAAACTAAATGTCGCTGAGATCACGAGTTTCAATCAAATAGTCGGTTATCATGCCGCGATAACGCGGCAATTTTGCGTGTTTACATACCCCTTGAGCCAGAAATGGACCTCAACGCAAAAACAAAATTTAGATCGAAAACATCAGATCTTCTTGAAACTTTTCAAAAGCCCATAGAGCGAAGCGATGTCGCTTGGGAAGGTCGAGCCAAGGATGACATGATGCGAGACTCTCTCATTTTCGCTGATTTTTCTCTTATTCTCTTTCCCTGATTATTAAAATCAGAGAATTTCGAACAGCTGATGTCAAAAAAGGCGAGATGCCAGAAATAAACCGGCTAAAAATAGCTAACAAAAGCAGTGCGAAACGAAATTTCAAGGAACGACACAAATACTTTTGAATAACGTGCAACTAAATTTTATTTTTTAATTTAATTTAAAACGTTCATCATAAAACCATGATCTTTTATTATGACTTGTATTGTTTCTTTGTTATAATTTTTTTTATTATCTTATATGCTATTTTTTTATGTTATATAATTTTTTAAAAATTTTATAATATAAATACATGTATATAGGGATGTATATGCGTTATATAGGCCTACTCGGGGACGGAGCACCTAAAATAATATCGATATGCAAAATACCCAAAAGTTTTTTTTATAATACCCAATCCTTTTTCTTTCGACAGTGGCATGATTGGAAAATGTTATAAAAAATGTGGGTTTTGACAGCTTTCTCTCGATTCAAAAAGTCTCGCATCATTTCATCCTTGGTCGAGCGGCTTCAGTTCTTGCACAAGCTGTATTTTGTAAGATTTCAATTTAAGATCTCGACGTATCACTCTCAGCTAGGTAGGTAGGTAGGTAAAGTGGCTGTCGACACACTTAGGCCTTTAGGAGGCCCATTGTGATACCACTGGGACTGTGATCCCCTCACGCTATTGGCTTCTCTCTGAACCACCCCGTACTTCTGATGAACTTCATCAGTGAGACAAGTTTTATCTGTGCAACCTCCGAGACGTCGTCAAGAAACCCACGACCGATGGTTGCGATTCTTTTCCTATATAGTGCTGCGCAATCGCATAGAAGATGTTTAATGGTCTGCTCCTTTTCTACTTCCTGACAGCTTCTACAATAGTCGTTATATGGCGCGCCAAGTCTACTTGCATGTCTGCCTATTAGACAGTGGCCTGTTAGTACTCCTACGAGAGTTCTTATATCATTCCTCTTGAATTTTAACAGTCAGCATGTGCGGCTCATATTACATTCTTGCCACGTTTGCCTGCTGGTTGAGCAGGTCAGGGATTGATTCCACTGACACTCGGCTATATTAATGACATGTTTGTCGATTAGGTATCTACACGTAGCCAGAGGCATATTTATGTCCACCTTACCAGGATCTAGTTGTAGGGTGGTGCCTGTTCTGGCTAGTCCATCTGCTACGCAGTTCCCAGGGATGTCACTGTGTCCTGGAACCCATTGCAGATTTACCGTGAAATAGGATGACAGATCCGCTAGAAGATCATGGCAATCCTTCACTGTCTTCGACGAAATACTATGAGACATCAGAGATTTCAAAGCCGCCTGGCTGTTTGTATATATAAATACACTTCTTGTTGTGATTACGCTTTTTGTTAGTACAAGAAGGCTTTCTTTAATTGCAGTGACCTCTGCTTGGAAGACACTGCAGTGGTCTGGTAACCGGAAGGCGATTTTGGTATCTAGTTTAGCCGAGAAGACACCGCCGCCTACTCGGTTATCAAGTTTGGAACCATCCGTATAGAAGCTTATCCCTGCTTCCTTGTCCACTACATCCCTTTCTCACTCCTCTCTGCAGGGGAAGGCAATATTGAGGACCGGATTTAGGTTCAGCTCCCTAGGATTGCGAAAATCCGTAGTTATGGGAAGAAACGGGAACTTCCTAAGTATCATAGAATGCCCCTTGTTGCTGGCGACTAATAGGGAGGATTCCCTCAGTCTCAGAGCTGACTTCGCTGCCATTTGCTTGCAATACAAATCTGTTGGCAGCAAGTGTAAAATTATGTTAAGTGCCTGGCTTGGCGTAGTTCTGAGAGCTCCACTGATGCAAATACTTGCTGCTCTTTGTATACTTTCCATGCTTCTAATCGCATATTTCTTTTCTGTAATTGGCCACGATACTACTATCCGCCAGTGAGCCACCCGAGGTATCAGTCCCCACCTGCGCCCGACCATTCTTTTACATGTGTAAAGCGCTGTAGCAGCTTTCTTTACCCTAGCTTCCAAGTTTTGTTTCCAAGAAAGCTTCCTGTCCAAAATTAGTCCCGAGTAGCTTGCTTTATCTCCTATCGTTAGCCTGGTGCCATTTAAAAATGGCGGCGTGATTTCGGGAGTACTGTGTTTCTTAGTGAACAATACGAGTTCTGTCTTGCTAGCATTTAAATTCAGTCCGCATGATACGGCCCATCGATTAATCTCGTTTAATATTGTCTGCATAAGACTAGCGAGGGTGTTCGGGAACTTGCCCCTAACCGAGACTGCCACATCATCAGCGTAGGCCACAACATGTACCCCCTTCTTTTCTAGATCCACAAGCACTTTATTCATTGTCAGGACCCAGAGAAGTGGGGATAACACGCCTCCTTGGGGTGTACCCCTTCGGACAGATCTGTGCATCATTGAAGCTCCCAGCGTTGAAATAATTGACCAGCCCAAGAGCATCTGTTCAATTAATTTCCGGAGAGGCTCAGATATGCCCAGATCTTTAAGCGCGCTCAATATGACCTTCGGCTGGATGTTGTTGAAGGCACCTTTTATGTCTAGGAAGGCTACGAGGGTGTATTCTTTTATTTCCAGAGACTTTTCAATCTCTGCTAAAACTGAGCTTAATGCCGTTTCTGTGGATCTACCCTTCGAGTACGCATGCTGCGAAACTGCCATTTTTCTTGGATTTAGTATGTCCTTTATATGTATTTCTATTAGTCTTTCCAGCGTTTTTAAAAGAAATGATGAAAGACTAATTGGTCTAAAATCCTTTGGATTAATATGTGAGCTTTTGCCAGCCTTTGGGATATAT